CCCCCCCCCCCGCCCACCACTCCGGGCCTTTATTTGCCTTTTGGAGGCTCCAAAAGCGGCTAAGGCTCTGCAAGTCCATGGGCTTGTGTCTGGACCAGGGCTTTAGGGTTTAGGGTATAAGGTTCAGGGCTTAGGGTTTAGGGTTTAGGGTTCAGGGCTTCGAGTTTAGGGTTTAGGGTTCAGGGCTTAGGGCTTCGGGTTTAGGGTTCAGGGCTCAAGGTTCATAGGTTTCGTGCCAGCTCGCTTTGACTAGTTTCTCTAGGCCCTGGCCTCTTCAGCAGCTGCACACCTTCGCAGGGTCTCTGCACTGGATTACTATGCGTAATCGGGTTTAGGGTTTAGGGTTTAGGGTTTAGGGTGGCGTAATCATCAGACGTAGTTTCTTGTGTTGCAGCCGGGTCGCGAGAGGAGGTTTCCCTGGTCTCCAAACCTAAAAGTCACGAAGCAACGTGAAAGCCCTAAACCCTAAACTCACTACAAAGAACATTCTGAGCCACATGCAGTCGTTCACTCGAGAACTGCCCTGACCTAATGTAGGGCCGAAATAATTACCAATACGATTTTCGTGGGTTCCGTATGATATTTATGGCATAATGGGCCCCAAAACCCTATTCTAATTATTAAGGCCCCGAAAAGACCTCTGGCTCTCCCGAGACGCTGCAACTGCTTCAACCACAGCCGGGCTGAGGCGGACGACGCGAAGCGTTCATAACTAAACCCCAAACCCTATAAACCCTGAGGCCCCGGAAACCCTAAACCCCTATAAACTCTAAAGCCCTAGAATCCCTAAACCCTAAAACCCCATAAACTCTAAAGCCTATAAACCCGAAACCCTCAAACCCTATAAACCCTGAAGCCTTATACTACCTAAACCGTAAAAAGCCCTATAAACCCTGAAGCCCTTAGGCCCTAAACCTTAAACCCTAGACCCTAAACCCTAAACCCTAAAACCTAAACCCTAAATCCCTAAAAGCCCCAACCGCGGCCTGGCTCTGCTGAGCTTTCAGCTCCCAGGAGAGCTCCTGTCGCGGGGAGTCCGCGAGCGCTAACATGAGGAGCACCAGAACCTGCGACAGGCGATGATGAAATCAGACTACGGTTTTGTGGCTCCTTTAAAGGGGTTTAGGGTTTAGGGTTTAGGGTTTAGGGTTAGGGTTTTGGGGCTCCTTTAAAGGGTTCCTAAGGGTTGTATAAGGGCTACTAGAAGGGTTTAGGATTTAGGGTTTTGGGTTTAGGGATTTAGGGTTTAGGAATTTATGGTTTAGGGCTTAAGAGGCTGACTTCTGAACCCCTCCAAAAAGTTGAACCTTTAGACTCCATACTATAGTTCATATAGAACCCCCAAAAAGTTAAAGTCCTAAGAGCCAACCAGAAGAACAGCAGCAGGAGACGACGATCATTCCCTAGAGGGTTTAGGGGTGTAGGGTTTATGGGTTTCGGGATTTAGGGCTTAGGGCTTAGAGGGTTTAGGTGTGTAGGGTTTAGGGGTTTCGGGATTTAGGGCTTAGGGTTTAGAGGGTTTAGGTGTGTAGGGTTTAGGGGTTTCGGGATTTAGGGTTTAGGGTTTAGGGCTTTAGGGGTGTAGGGTTTAGGGGTTTCGGGATT